GTATTAAAAGTTACACACATATTATTTTGTTTGTTTGTTTACTGTATTTAAAAATGTGGGGTGACCAGTGCAGAAAAACATTTTCCCTGACTTCACATTCTGTAGGTGCTGTTCAGACTTAAAATCCCTCCTGCTTTTGAAATTAGCTTCTGAAGAGTATTAACTCTGTTGTTGCACAGCAGAGATCAGATAGAAAAATAATAGTTTGGTTAACTATCAGTGAAAGCCGGTAGGACTGAACTGTTAGGAAATTACAAGGTAAGGAACACCCTCACCCTAAAAGTAAAACATCTAAACTGAATGGCTAAATCTGACACATTCACATTGTGGACCTATGTGATCAGGTGATCCTTCTTCTTGTGGGACTGTAAAGCTTTTTTATCCCGTAGGCAGAAACCTTTCTAAAGTGTTTTTATTTCATGTCTGAAGAAAACAGCAAAGATTCCTGCAGGTCAACATGTTAGTACAAAGGTCACTACAAACACGCTCAGACATTGGTGGGACATGACAAAAACTATTACAAAGAAAAGCAAATGCAGCTACAATAAACCCCTAATAATTAATTCAAACTGGTAGAAGGTTATTGATTCCTTTGAGGATTTTAATGTTTGGAGTTCTGGAGAAAGCCTGGAGCTCAAAAAGATACGTGTTGTTCATTAAAATTGAAATGATTACTACACATTAGGTCTTAAAAAACCTTGTGGATTATTGGAATTAAAAGGAGAATACTATAGGGGACTAAATTTTAGTTTCTTTAATGCTAATTGTATTTACCTAGCAGTTTCACCCAGCTGCATAAGTAAACTGCAAATTAATCCACTCAAAAACATAGAGTTAACTGATCTCCAAAGCTGACTGATTTTCAGTCAGTGGAATAGTTTACATGACAATCAGATCATTCTGCCTCGCTCGATGTTTCTGAAACCACCTGAAGACCCACCTTTTTCATTATCTTCTTAACTGGCGTCATACAGACACGTCTGACACCCAGCCCTGGCAGATGGGCGCCCTCTCTCAGGTTTCTCTCTGTTAAAAGGGAGTTTTCTTTCCCACCATCACCAAGTGCTTGTTCATAGGGGATAATCTGATTTTTTGGGTTTTCTCAGAGATACTTTACCTTGGGTATAAGCTATTGTAATGTTCAGAAATCTGATTTTAACCACATTGAATTGGTTTGAATTTGATGTGTATAACTGCCACATGCAGCAAAAAGGAAACATTAGTTGTGAGGTTAATGACAGTTTCCAAGCAAAATGTATACGGTGAGATCATCACCAGGCCAATTATTTGATTTTACGCTGTTTAGATTTGAGTTTACGGCTCTGTGAAACATAAAAGTGTCTGATGATTATTCTCTTCAATACATCATGTCAACCAGTTACCCTTAGAAAACTAGTCCTGTTAGCTCTCAGTGTCAGTGAGGAATACTCTTTGAGGGTTCTGGCAAAATACTTAAAGACTTTCTTTTCGATTGCAAGCTGTTAAAAGAACTCGTAGCAATAAAACTGACAATGAACGTGATATAAAGAAACTACCAGAGCTATAAACAGGTAAGCCAAAGGACCTAAATTGAGGAGGACCGATTTTGAAGGTCAGGTTTGGCCCCCGGGGACATGACATTGACATCTGTTTGTGTTTTTGCTGTATAATCAGCTATTTCCATAAATGTACTTTCATTACAAAAATGTTTTGAATAAAGACCAAATCAAATGAGAAACCTGTAAATAGAAGTTACAAGATGTTAGCCCGCTTTCTATCACGCCACATTTCTTACCTTTGATCTTGTATCTGCACTAATCTAATTAATCTGTTGATTAGAAATATAAACTACATCAGCGGTCCATTGCATTAACTTAGCAGCCACACCTACTAACAGTTGAAGAATAACAATAAAATCCATTCAGATCCTCTCACTCAACTCTCCTAAGCAACAATTATATCTTCAGTCATTGACCTTTTAGTGTGGAGTCACTGACGTTACAATCAGATCATCGCTGTCCTTTTGAGTTTCACAAACCTGTCCACGGACCCACCTCTTATCTCTTATCCCACACCTCTCTGCTCTTTATCTGTTTGCAATTTATCCACTGCTGGATTCAAAAAACAGATATTGTTTAGTTTCTTTCTTCTACTTTGTTTCATGTTGGAAATTAATAAGTATATTCTTGAACAAAAATGTGGTTTATAAATAAACTGTATTGACTTACTTTTAGCTTTGGTCAAATTAAATAGCAGCATCAGTTCGTTAGAGTTTCGGTAAAGCCCGACCAAACTGGACCATGAATAAAATAAGACTTGATGAGTCGAGGAAATCACAGTATTGAAGTGAAAGCATGGAAACCAGTAAACTAATAAAATTTATTATCTTAGTATTTCTGATACAAAACTAATAGCTATACCTTCACTAGCTGAAGCCAGTGGCGGTCCTAGCCAGTTTGGCGCCCTGGGCGAACACTCCCTCTGGCGCCACCCTGGGGCGCACTGACAGAGGCGAGGCTGCCGGACACTGACCTCTGACCTCTCACTGATTACTGGTCATTTTATTTCATTTTTCCCTCCA